ATTGTCGAATAATCCCCTCGACTTCGTCTCGGGGATTATTCGACGATATTCGCCTCGCCTTCAGCGAATAATTGTTAAATATCTATGTTATTGCAAGCCCAATAGGAAAGTGTAGCTTGTTTTTTAGAGGGTCTAAATGGGGTCATGGCTTTTACGGCTAATGGTTAAGTTTTGGCCATTGTTTTTATAGTTAATTGTTTTTATGGTTAACTTTTTTTACAACTATCGGTTAAAATTTGTTAATTTTTACCCTTTTCGGCTAAATTTTTTGCCCGTTTTACGACTATTGGCTAACCTCATTGAGACCCTCCACTTACGTTTCATAGTTGAGTTTGATTTTAAGGATGTAGCCTGGACGGATTCATAATTGTTACTAAGGTAACTGAGGGATAGAGATTGCGCTTATAACAGAATACATAGCTCAGGACTTCAAATCGAGAGATCAGAGTCGATTCTTTTTTTCGAAGATGAAACTCTGTACTGGAAACCGGCTGTGATAGATTTTTGTCATGCAGGGCCAACACGTTTATAATTATGCAACTTTTCAATGAGTATTGATGTAAACCTAAACCCGATATAAATATCTCCAGTCTACAAGGACAAGTATTGTTTTGTAATGGTATTTACATCATGTTATTTGGGTAGGATCATTATAGATAGGGTGATTACGTTTTAAAATACGCTTTTCCACCAGAATAGTTCTAGCCAGGAGACTCACTACACATATGTGGATAACACGGAAAAAGAAAGGCGAGAGGCACTGGAAAGAGAGGCAACAAGGCTGGAGAATGAACGGAAGCGCCGTGAAAAAGAAGAGAGGGAGCGTTTAGAAAAAGAACAGCAACAGGAGGAAGAGGGGCGACGAGAAGAACTCAGGCGACAGCTGCAAAAGGAAAAAGAAGAAGAAGAAAAGAGAAGAAAAGAGGACGAACAAAAAAGTTTGCAATTTGAGGCCGAACTTTGCCGACGTCGGCATGAGTTGAAAAATTACGAATTTGGTGACAAGATTAAACTGGATAGTTTCCTGGGATTGGAAATTGATGACGTAACACAGCTTAGGATCGGTGTGTTTGGATCCGCGGGTTCGGGGAAGAGTTGTTTCATCAACACAGTTGAACGAACAGTGAGGGAAACAGCCAAAGGGACCGTGCCGGACCAGACCAAAGGAGAGGAGGGGACCATTATACTCCAGGACTACCTGCCAGAATTGTTCTTTCACTTGGTGGACACCCGGGGTTTCTTCAAATACGACTCTGATGATATTGTCGAATTTCAAAATGTTCTGAGTGGGAAAATTCAGCCTGGTGATATCATCTTCCGCCCTAAAAAAGGCCAACTCAACCAACAAGTGCTGCATCGATGCCCAGCATTTGGACAGAGACTGCATGGTGCTATTATTGTTGTGAAAGCCAAGGACCCGAGACTGATCAAAGGGGCTTTGAGGGACTACTGGAAGCCATTTCAAGATAACCTGCGTCAAAATGGTATTGATTTGTTTTAATTTGTAACAACTTCAGTCCTCAATTGCTGATGACAAGTCGAACATCACCTGTCTTTATGTCATCACCGAGTTCGCAATTTACCATCTTTCCTGAACTATTTATTCACAAAGAGCCTTCGACATTTCTGATCCTTGCAATACTCTGGACGCATTTCACATATGAACCTAGTGGTAAAAGCCTATCTCAACGTAGATTGTCTGTAGCTCAGTGATAGAGCATCAGAGCACGAAATTTATTAGGTGCAAAGAAAAAAATATAGCCTTTCCTCCTTTGAAGTATTTAATAGTGTTGAAGAAAAGACATAAGCCGACCCCTCAACTCAGTGTTTTTGTGTCTTTAATAGATATTACGGCCATCACTTTAATTACTCACACACCGACGAACTGTGAGTGCACTGTGTGAACTCTCAAACTCATCGTTTTTGTGATCAATAGGTATTTCACCCATCACTGTAATTACTCACACCGACGAACTGTGAGTGCACTGTGTGAACTCTCAAACTCATCGTTTTTGTGATCAATAGGTATTTCACCCATCACTGTAATTACTCACACCGACAAACTAAAAGGTCAGAAAGAGATGGATGAGGCTCGGGAGGATGCATATAAAGCTACCAGAAGTTCGCCAAGTAATACATTCTTCATGTGGAACTACACCAAAGACAACAGTGCACGAAACCCGGAAATTGAGCGAATGACATTCGACATCTTACACTATGCTCTGATCACCGCGGAAAGAGCTGTGAAGCAAATGAAGCATCGAGAGAGAAACAAAAGGGAAGATGAGATGATGAAGGCACTGCAAAGCATTTCAGTCAGTGGACAAGTGGCACCTGACTCTCCCGACGGTAAGCGACAATTGAGTTTTCACCGACGCCTCCTTTCTGCCATCAAAGGTAGGACTTCGGCGAAAACCCTCCGCTTTTAAGGCATATATTTTGTCTCGCGGTACCTAGCGTTGAAAAGTGTAAATTTTGGGTGGCAAAGTGTCGATTCAATGCATACTCTTTCAACCAATTCTTGAATATTTTTGAAAGTGCCTACATATTGAAAAGAACACCGAAATTTTCTCCAAATTATTTTTTGACCCACAAGGAGAGGTTGGATTTAAAGTAGGCAGGACCGAGGTTTAATCACGGTTGTGACGCTGATTTGGTGGACACGTAAATTTTCCAAGTTCACAAAACGGTTCCTAATTATTCATAGCACAAACACAAGCTTTGACAGTTCTCTTGGAAACGGCAAAATTGGGAAAATCTATGCGCATGATTTATTCACGTCCTTACATTTTCTTTAAACGTTAAGACTCAAGCGGCTCTCGCACAGCCCGGACCGTTTTAAGGCAAATCCGAAGATATTTAGCAATTTCCATTTTTCTTTTTCTCCTTCAGCTTCAGTGGAAGTGTTCCTGCGCTTTCTCCAGCAGGAATACGGTTGGAGCACAACGAACATTGTAAGGATATCGAACCAGTTAGTCAAAGATGACATAACAAGTGTCAGTTTGCTTGCACAGTGTTGGAGTCATGTCCAAGACCATTTTCCAAGTGGCATGAGCAGAATGATTCAAAAAGAGCTGAGGAAGCGAGGGATGTTAGCTTGAACAAGTTGATCTTCACTGACCACCCAAACTGACAGCAAACTGCTTTTAGAAGTATGTTCGTTTAGAATTATGTGCATATATATATAAATACCTTTCACCAGATAATTTGCAAGTTAAGTAGGCAAAAATGACCCAAACAGAATCGAGGATGCTCCTTAATGTATAATAATATAATTTATAGAATAAGGCAACTCCGCTAAAAGTGGATCTCTTACTAGTTAGATTATTCAAAAGATTATGGACAGATTATAATGTCTTGGTTTATTTTATTCCCATCACTTTATTATAACTCCTTACTGGCTGTTAAAGAGCTTATCCACGGGAATATTGAGGAACCAGCCTTCATGTTGAGGAGGGCATGGAGTCAAGAGTTCTTTAGTACTAAAAGGACAGCCTTAAAATTACAAAATTAAAGAAATGTTTATTTCACAACCATCAACTGGTTTTCCCACTGCAAGAATTTAGTTAGATTTTAATCACTTTATGATGTATATTTGAAAGCATCATTCTCTTTAATTTTGATTTATTATTAACATAATTATGTAAACCCAATCAGTACCATATGGGTGAGAAAAACAGAAAATGAATAATGATAACTGTAATTATACTCTTTTTTGGCGTTCTTGCGTCAAATAAAATTTAAGTTTTCATATATTAACTTAAATTCATAATTCAGACATTTGCTTGATTATACCTCTTTACAAGGAAGGAAAAGCAAATGCCATTTATGAACTGTCAAAGGTTATATGTGCAAAAAAGTAAACAAAATAAATTTGAAAAAGTGCTTATATATGGCATATATCTTGACTGAGACAAATCCCTGGATGGCACATGCAAGGATATAAATAAGGATTTGTAGAAAACCAAAGCAAAGAAGTTACATCACAGTATCACAGGGCACTAAAGTACAACACAACGCATTACAACAGAGTACAGTTATGATATGAATTATTTATATAAGGTATAGCTGTTAACATTTGTTTGTTGGTACACAGGAAGAAAAGTACTTGCTTGATTGTTACACGAGTGCAGTTTATCTTGAACCACACTCTAAGCGATTCCCCCTTTGACGAGAGCCTAGCTGTATATCAAATTTTTCACGTTGAGTAGCTTCAGTGAGTTACCTCCTCTTCTTCTTCTTACACTTTCGTTTCTGTGCACTTTTACGTGCAATTTCTCATTGTTGCTGACTCTTTTCAGTTTATTCCTCGGGCTCCTTTCTCTTCAGTCTCCTTTCTCTTCAGTCTCACACTGCTCTTCGTTACATTTCAGTCTTTTTACTTTGTTTTTTTTTAGTCCTCTTTCGCTTCCATCTTCCCCATGATTCTGCCTATTTTTCGAGTCCATTCTCGCTCCCGTGTAAGGTAGGTCGTTCCGGTCTCGTTCTACGACTGTGACTTCTCTCTGCCTGTTTTCGCTCAAAGACAGTCACCACAAACTTGAACGAAAATCAGTTCATACAGTTGACATAGCTTTTGTTACAAATAATGTTGTTTTCGCAAGATGATTAGAAATCGTAAGTTACTGAGAAATGCTGTTTTCTTCCACAATTTTATCTGTTTCATCTTTCGCCAAAAACGCGGGTTGCAAATCGTAGGGTATGCGCGAGGGAATCAATTTTTGGCGCCCGTACCAATTTCCCGCGCAAAATTTCTGAGGAAGAAACTTTCTCTAAAAAGGGAACTCAAATAAGGAAAACTCAAGCTTTTTCCAAAGCAAACTTATTCAGATAAACGTATCGTGCTGATTTACCATTCTGTTTTGAGTTTTACCGAAAAACTTGAACACTTTTAGAAACACCGAAACTTACTGACTTGTGGTTGTATGTAACTCGTATAAGATCACTTGGTTCTGACAGCCGGAGTGTTTGCTCATAAGGGCTTCACATCAACTAGCCCATGTGAAGCTTTCCTTATTGTGCCTTACTTTGTGCTTGTGGTAAGTTGTGCTGGGACACTGCGCTGGAGTATGACCATTTCACGAAGCTGCTCCTTTGTTAACTGGCACAACTGGATAGGATTTTCTAGTAACACATGCTTACATGCATGCGTATTACCTTCTCATTCCCCTTTTAGATATGTAATGCCAAGATTTTTGCCCGCAAGATACCTGCAATACAGTTGTTAATGCTTCGTGTTGACAAGTATGGGGGAGCTCTGCTCTAAATAAGTTTCTAGTCCACATATCGAACATACTCCTACATGTATCATAACTTTTGCTTTAGGTTTCAAACTGTACTTATTCCCTTCTCATGGTAGCAAGTGTTCTAGCCAAAACATCTCAGCTTTATGACCATCTGAGCATTTAGATGCCAGAAAAGAATGAAGATTTCTGAAACAAAACTTGTACTCATTTGCAGAGGGTATCAATACTTTACTTTGCTGTTGAATGTTACATCACATTCTATTACATCACCTGATAACAGATTCAACAGCAAATGTAAACTAAAGCAATGTACCATAAACTAACGCCAAAAAGACCAGTAGAGACTTAAAGTGGTGCCATTTAATAACAAAATACTATTGCCATTTCAAAATTTTCCAGCCATGTCCACTAAAACATGTGTGTTCTAACAACTGGACTGGACAAAAAGCAAGATCATCTTGAACAAGATCATCGTCCAAATTTACTGCGTTGATTTGTTGAGTTCGTTGATCAGCAGAATCCTTGATCTTTAAGTTTTCCGACAAGATCATCTACTGTTTCTACTTTAATTCCAGCCTCCCTGACAGGTGGGTCTTCCACACTTAATGTCTCCACTCTGGGTGAGACATCAACACCCAAGTCACTTGGAGATTTCTTGTCAATCTTCTTCTTTTTGGCTTTCTGTGAGATGAAAATACGTAAGAAACATATGAGACACTTATCATGGCTCCCTTCTCTATGTATTCTTCATGGGATGCTTTGTGATAAAGTTTATTATTTAACCAAACTCAAAGTAATCACAAGAACCAATCAGAGAAAGGGAAAAGGTCAAAAGGAGCCAAATGTAATGCAAAAATACTCAACATAAAATATGGGGAAAAAATGTGTTTTAACTGTAGGGGAACATGAGCAATCCGTAGCATAGCTGTCAAGGTGTTACATACAGACATACAAACTGTCATGTGTACTTGCAAAATAGTAATTACGAATGCTAATAGAGACGATATATTTAAGACTTCTGTTGTCATTTTTTCTAAAAAGTAAAGTTGCTTGTTTGGAAACTACACAATCATACTGCAATTGGTTTCATTTTCAAATCTGACTGGTTAATAGGGTGATGTACATGTATGCTTTTAGACCAAAGCAATCCATAACTACTTTTGACATTTTAAATTGCTCCAAAGTCAAACAGTATATATATGTATATCTGCCATGGGCAAATAGAAAAATTATGTTTCTTTTTGCAGATAAACTTTCCTGAATGGTGTATGAACCAGTTTCACATGGCCTAAGGAGACTTTGTTAGCTGTGCACCCCCCCTAAATCATGAAAATGACCCTCACCCCCTAAATCATGAAAATGACCCTCACCCCCTAAATCATGAAAATGATTTCTAAACCCCCCTCACCCCCTAAATCATGAAAATGACTGAAATTCAAAGCCTTTCAAACCATGTTTCAAAGTATTGCAATGTTAATGAACATGTAATTCTTTGGGTGGTTTCTATTCATATTTTTTCACTTTTTACTTAATGCACCACTCTTGAACAAGAAAGGACAATTTTACAAACTTTATAGTACAAAATAGTTTAATATTACAAACCATGATATTTGGAAGAGTTGCATAGCGAGGTTCATTTAGCCTAAAGAGGTAAAAGAGATAACAATTACATACATATCAACAACATGGTATTCTGGACACTGAACACTGCTGACAAACCTGGTAAATAATATAAGAAATGAGAAGCCATCATCTGTGCTTACATTCCAAGTAGATCACCTTTTCCACCTTTCTGAAATTTCTAGAGAACAAACATGATCTGAAAACTGCCTTCCTCCAACTTGTGGCTTAGTAAACCAGTTGCTGGTTTGGTCCAACTGGTTGCTGAAAGGGCTTAAAACCCCAATTTCTCATTCAGGATTTATATAATTCAGCATTTCAGTCAAAAGGATTAAGTTTTCACTTATCATAAAATACATTTAGTTTTATAATGGAACTTTTGTGTGCCAATAACTACCTCAGATCTGCTGTAACCACGCATGGCATCTTCACATCAATCATCTCTAATCCACCATCAATTTCACGTGTCACTGCCAGTTTGTCATCTTTCATTTCTAGTTTGGATGCAAATGTTGCCTGCAATGACCATCAGAGTATCATAAGCACACCCTCAACAACTATGCAACTTTTAATCTCTACATGTAGGTGTGACTAGCAAATAATTTCTCCCTAAAGCATCTCTACTGTATCAAACAGTACAGTCATGAGAATGAAATGATCCCCAACCAAAGAGATCCTTGATTCTCGAACAATTACTCCTCTGGGACCATAAAAAATGTCTAGAGAAAAATGTTGAGAATATGCCTAATGTTGCCTGGGTGAACCTGTTCCAAGAGAGGATGCATGTGGAAGACTGGCTAAGGCATCTGAACATTTTGAAATGTGCAGGTAGAACCCATAGTACAATACTTCTGACATGGAAGATGGTAGCATTTATCTTGTATCAAGTTTTAAAGTATTCGTTACCTGAGGCCATGAAAGCAGTGCAGACAACATCTGTCCTGTCTGATTACAATCATCATCAATTGCCTATGGAAAAAAGTTAGAAATATATAATAAGCATATTAAATTTGTTCTCAAGTTGTAGTTATCCCTTACTAACATCATCAAATTTCAAGGATAGAGCAATTAACATTTCCCTCCCTCTAGGAACTGACTTTGCTACATGTATACCTCCATACAAGTGAGCTCTTAGCAAGACTGTGTTGTCCTTTCCTTTCAGATACATGTACCTTAAATTCCACATTCTGCACTCAATACCTGTTTTCCCAAGATGATCAGATTTGGATTCTCTTGTTCCGTGATCTTTGCAAAAATTTTGGCTACTGCAAGAGGCTGTAGGCCTTCATATTCTTTGTCATTTAACAATACATGGATACCACGATCAGCTCCCATGGCAAGGGCTGTGCGAAGAGTTTCCTTTAAAGTTCAAGTGAAATTGCACCCGTTAGTTTGTAGTTGAAAACAATTACAATATAACTCACTTAGCTTAAAGATAGTCTATTTTATATATTTCCATTCTGCACAGTAACTGAATCATTACCTCACTTTTAGCTGGTCCACAACTCACAGCCACAATTTCTGAAGCTATGCCTTTTTCTTTAAGTCTTACAGCCTAAAAATTGACATTTAACAAAACAAATAAGAGAGAGTACAATTATCATTTATGAAATACTTTCAAATGATATAGTGTCATTAGTTTTTTCATGATACACTTAAGAAAATGTGTCTCTCCAAATTCTGAATTTTCCACCAATGAGCTGAAGTTTTAACCTTTTAAATCCCAAAACATATAACTCCTCCCCATGATATCCATAAATTGTACAGCAAACAGGCAATAAGAACACTCAAGCTTATCAGGCAGAGGTTGTAATTTCATTGATCTAACACCAAATTCTGTTATTTACTTACAAGGAGATCTGTAGCAACTCAAGGGCAGTATTAACAAACTGATCTAGTTAAAGGATTTAGGGTCAACTCAAGTAACAAAGGAAAGATCATCTAACCTAAACTAGCCAACAGTAACTTGTACCATAAATTAAGTGCATGACTATTTTGCTGTTTTCCTGTTTGTCTCTTCATTTGTCCACCTTGAAATTTCCATCTAACCTTGTATATTTTTCTTGGGAAAAAAGAACTAATTTATGCTGACTGTTACCTCTAACTAACACCAGTAAAAGTTATTTTAAAAACGTCAAGTATTAATTCTCACAGTGATGTATTTTAAAAATGCCAACTAAGGGACTGGTCATTATTTATCGGGAGAGGGGGGCTGGTGCAAATAGGGGGGG